CCAGCCCCAGGTCCTGCGCGATGCGGCCCACGAAGGTGCCGTGTTTGGCCTCCTCGGGGACGGAGTAGTGGACCTGGCCGCTCCCTGCCTCCCAGGCTGCTAGAATTATAATAAACAGCGGTAGGTTTCGGGCCCGTTGGTCGCATCCGCTGGAGTATACCATTTCAGTTTATTGGCGTTTTGTTCTAATCAGCGAAACTTGCCTCAAAATGTAGAGGAATCTTGGTATACCTTCATTGCAGTCCTGACTTGCTGGCCATTGTTGAGCATCTGAAGAGTGAAAGAGCCGAGCGTCTTGGATGGGAAGACGAATGACTTCGTTTTGTTGAGTACGAAAGAAGTTCGCGGTAAAGAGCGACATCATGTGGTCCAAATAGTAAGTACGAATTACAATATTATCTTTATTTTAATAATATGAAAAGTTTTATTTCAAACTCTGAATTTTTTTCTTCATTATTGTTAAAGTATAGGACCACCTTTCTCACTCTTCTGGAGGCATTCTTAGGTAATTAATGGCCTTTGCATATTTAGTGTGACCATAATTGTGACTTTCTCGTGCCTTAGAAAAGCTTTTTTCCAGTTTTAAATACAGATAGAAACCTCAGTGACAATAAAATTTATCACTTAACCAATCCTAAGTTTAAATTCCTTTGTTCTAGTGTTCAAGAAACTCCATATTCTTAGATTCAGTATCCCCTATTAAGAAAACTACTGGACTCTCTGGGGACCCAGGATTTCAAGAATCTACTAAGGGAAGAGAAACTTAGGAAGTTACTGTTTTAAGAGGAGGCACAGAATATAAGCATTTATTCAGATACCTTTCTCAAGAAAACAAAATAATAGAAGATTTTTGGAATCTTTGACAAGGAAGAATTTGTATTAAGTGAGCTTTTTGAGAGAAAAGTTCTGAATTTCTCTCTTCATCAGAATTTTTATATGCTATTTCAGGAGTTCAGGATTCACATATTTATTTACACTTTCCATCCTTTCTAAGCTTTGTGTTTCGTAAATTCGTGCTTCTTTTTACAATCTCAAAGGTGACTTAGATTATTCCTTTTTTAATATGTTTATTTCATTTGATAAATGCTGGTATTCATCCATCATACATAGAGCAGTCCTTTACTTGCTTCTTGGAGTATTTTATCCTTTTTGGATCTACGAAACAGAGCTAATTTGTTCCCAACTGCAAGTAAAATAATTACGTTTGTATTCCAATGCTTTCCAAGTTTGGTATCTGAGTTTTTATAATTGCTGCTCTCCTTGACTATTCCAACAGCTTTATTGTGTCACCTTGTCTTTCCCAACCTCATTAATCCTTCACTTAATCCTTACAGCCATCTTCCTGAAATATCTTTTATTCCTATTGCTTCGCACCTTCTGATAGCTTTCAAGTGACTNAGTAGTGGATCTGGCCGCTCCCTGCCTCCCAGGCTGCGAGGAGCAGAAGCGAGAGCAGCAGGCGCCGGGATCTCGAGTCTCCTCGCCAGAAAAACACCATGTTAAGTACTCGTTTTATTCCTATTAGAAAATTTTGTCTTGATATAAAGATGAACGATTGTATTGTCTCAGGTCTTTTAATCTAATACCGCAGCATCTGCCATTGTTCAGGCATTAGAGACAAATACTGTTATAGAAGCGCCTTTGGACCTTGGCTGGATAGAACTTCTTAGTAGACAGCGACATCATGCGATTCCAAAAGGTAACGATTAAATGAATTAACTCACCTCCTCAATAATTGGGTTCTTTCATGCAATATTTTCTTTTCCTTTATCACAGTTTAATAATAGATATTTACCT